TTACATACTGGGTTAAATCTAGTATTATAAAGCGATACACGTTACTTTTCTGTAAATTTCCCGTTCAAACTAAAGGATTGCATTTGATTAAAAAAAACAAGGTTCATTTCTAAAATTACTATTTATCAAATCAGTTTCCATGAACAAAATCTATTACAGAAAAACAAGTAGAAAAAACAAAAATCACGATATTATTGGGAATTCCCATTTCACTTTATAACTGTTGGGTGCAGCGTACAGTTTATGTCCAATAACATAAATTTTAAGTGCACTTCTTTAGTACAAATTATATACAAATTTTAAAAATCCCGACTGCGTTTTCTCTTTTCGATTCTTAAAGTGAAGTGTACTACTCTTAGGACAAAATATATCAAAATTATAGAAAACGTCAACGGTTCTTACTCAGACGTACTCATTTTTTTACCGTTTTCAACTGAACAAAGTCAATACTAACCTTAAAATGCAACACCCATCTCTTTTGTAGTGTATTTTATGCATAAAACATAAATAAATAAATTGGGAAAGTGTATGAGTTTTTTTCTCAAGTAATACACTGTTTTAATACAACGAAAATCAAAGGACGATAACTGTGTCATCAGGCCAGTATGATATTCTTTATCTTAACTTCCAGTGTGAAATTTTTTGTTTCATGTATATTCAGGACGATAACAAATCTATAATACTATATGAAAGTATTTTCCCTTTTTTCAACTGGAATTTTAAACTGTACAACAAAATGTTCTTACACTTGAAAGGTTTCTCTCACTAGTTAACAGTTTTCAGAGTTTATTTGCAAATGCATTTTGTTTGCACTTTTAAATGCAAAATTCTCTCAACAGTGAAGATTCTGAAATTCTACGACGTCAGAAATATTCAAACTGAGTATTATTTTCGAGCAGGATAAGTCTGTTATATTAAGAACAAGCACTTAGTCCTGAAAATGTATACAGATTAAAATGTAAAAACATAAAAAATCTAAAGATTAAAAGTACTGATTTTACATGTTGTAACGTGCTGAATATTTGAAGCCCACTGCTTTATGAAAATACAAAAATACATGAATGTACTGAATAAAATTGCTCATTGTATTGAGCATGGAATGATTCCGGGTTGCATGTAGTACGCGTGGATTCTTCTGACGGTAGTGATGCCCAAATAGGAAATAAGGAATCTGGTGAAATACTTTGCAATCATTTAAGGTGCATCGACATGTTAAATTATTTACTAAATCAGTATAAAATTAGGAAATAGAATACAATTTACTCGGAAATATTTGCAATTAAGTAACATGTTTGTCTTAAGGTACTACGGGATTTATCATGACCAATCACTTAAAGTATTTTTTTAATATTCAATTTGAAAAAAATATTTGATTTGATTTTTTTGATATTTACCTGTGTTACCTGTCAAATGAATGCGTGCAAATGTAACTAAAAGCTGCGCGCAAACGTAAACAAATTTAATTCCCAAATGCGCTCAAATGTAATGCGCCCGTACCAAGTCAGGAGCCAGTAGTTCAGTGGTTGTCGTTGGATCATGTCCGTCATATTTGTTTTTTGCTAATTGTTTGGTTATAAATTAGGCCGTTAGTATTCTCAATTGAATAGTTTCATATTTTTCATGTCGGGTCTTTTATATCCGACTATACGGTATGGGTTTATCTCATTTTTGAAGGCTTGCCTATAATTGCTTACGTCGACTTTATTTGAACTTTGCTTGATAGTTGTCCCATTGGCAATCATACCTAATCTAATTTTTTTATATAGTTATCAGCAAGAAACTGCACTGAATCGGCTTGTATGGAATATATTAAACATGCAAATTCTCTCGAACAGATGCACTGTCATATAATTTGTAAGAACCCGTGTTTTTTTCGCCTCGAACGTCGTTCGTTCAAGAGCCGTTTCATTTAATGTAAACATACATAATGGTTCAGGATGTCCACTTAGTACACTTCGTCACATGTAGATAGATCAAGGATTATTAAAGGAAATGAGGATCTCGAGCATGCTAGATATTAAGAATAATTCAAATTCTAATTCGCAAATAGATAACTTTCTACATATCAAAAAAATTTAACTTGATATTTTCATTCAAATTCAGGCAGCACCTTCCTGAATCGCGGTTTCTGAATCAGATGTATAACAAATATGTCAAATATTCAGATAGCTTCATTTGTGGTGTTTAACTATATTGGTTAACTACAAAACAAACAAAAAAATGACATTGTATTTTGTTAATTTAAGCATAACTTCAAATTAATCTTCAGAAAAGGGACTTCCGAATCCCTGTCTTCCCCACATTTCATCTGCAAGTAAACCATTTTTTAAAGTTTTAAAAAACAAAGGTTTTTTGTCGCTGGTTTGCTGTCTAACTGGGATAAATTCCTAATATCGGTTTCTTTATATTTCAACATAATCTTTGTCCAAGCATAGATATCTGTAGCTCATATTTCATTCTAGAACAACTTTTGGAATTTATGATTTTTAATGCTCTTCAACTTTGCAATTTGTTTTGCATCCCAATTGTTTTGATTCGAGTCCAAGTATTGAATCTTGAGTAGACGTATGGCGCATCTGGAGAACTAAATCATGTGTCTTGTATATCTGATGACTTTTTACAACCAGGTCGATATCACTACTGGTGGGCGTTTCGTTCCCCAGAGTATCACCAAACCAGTAGCCATCCATTCTGCTTGACATGAAGTATCATTGATGCGGTAATTTTTAGAAAAAAATAACTGTTCATAAAATCTTAAAAGCATTTGGAATATTACTGTGTTTCTACTCTATACATTTAGTCCGAAAATTTAGATACGATCCGTGTAAAGTCTTTGACTGTTAAATATTGTTTTATTTTTATCGGAACAAACATTGATTTTGTTTTTGACTAATTAAAACATAACTAAATATGCATTTGTTATTCAGTTATAAAAACTTATGGTCCTACATTCTACTTATATTTTGACATTGCAAAATTTAAAAATCTATACATCTTCTCCATTTTCTATTTACATCAGGAACAGATGAAATGTCTCCTTACTCAAATCCTCACAATTAAAAACAAACCAATGTCCATCAAAATTTTCAAGGTGATAAACGCTTTTAAAATAGTATTTATTCAAATACAAGTTATATTCGAAAGTAAACAAACAAACAAGTTAAAAGATCTATTCTTATTACAAATATAGTAATAATCACATACAAATTGAAAACAAAACAAAAAGACAAGAAAAACTTAGGATCGAAACTATAATCTTCAAATCTTTTGATTAACATTTTCTTATTCAGAAATTACTAAATAAATGTAAAAATATAAATATCAAAAATGAAAACAAATAAAATGATAATAACTACATAAACGGTACCAATTTTACCGCACAAGATTATTTACTGAAAATTAATGCTCGGGGCCTAAATATTTGAACATACAAAACCTTTTACAAACGTTAAAGTGGTGATAAAACACAGGAGATACATGAGGACAAGAAATCAGAGGTATGCATGATGGATATACAGTACCATGATCTGCTATTTCTAAAAGAACACGAATTAAGTGCAAATGTACTTGTTATCAGTGCCAATTGAAATTCGAATAATCAGACCTTTTCGCCTTATACCCACAAAACATGCATGCAATGAATATATTGGTTCTTTTTACCTATTAGAGGTCACGCCAGTGACAGGGAATAGATAAGAGACCCGACCGAAAATACATAACAGAGCCATGTGTATTCAGTTTACATACAAGTAAAAAATACAAATTTCATAATTGGCTGCAGGCATTAGAATAGGAGTAGCTTCACTTTCTCTGTAGTTTGATCAATTATTTTAAGAAAATCGCAACAATTTTTTTCTCTGTTGATTGTATACCAGACTCAAGCTAGCGAACAATAAGGTGTATCAAGCTAGCGAACAATAAGCCATCGAACAATAAGAAAAACGCGCCAAACTGATCATGCCTAAAAACCGAAAACTTACATTAACATGAAACGTTCTTTGAAATCTGATGACAATCATTTCCAGTAGGAAGACGAAATGCAATACATTTTCACAGACTATTTATTGAAAATTATCTTTTTATTTATCTATTTAAACAATAACATATAGAAAGAAAACAATTTGGTCGTGTCACTTTATACTGATTTAAACTTGATACCAATGTACAACACTGTATAGCCGACATTCAATCAATTTTGAAGTTTATTTTAGTTACATAATCATAACATTTAATAAGTTTTAGTTATCATTTAGCTACAATAAGTATGTCGTTTACACCACTCTAGTATTAAATGATTTGTAGATATAATTATGTCAGTTTATTACATTGTCATTTGTCTTATCATTGAAGGTATTTGTGAACCAGTTGACAGTTGACGGACGCCATCACGAGTTGGTTGACCGTTATGGAATAACCGTTTCATAGATGATATCGGATATGTTCCTTATGTCGTAACTACAATACCCTCCCTTTTCACAAATGTACTTACCGAATTAGACTATTTACCGGATTTGTAATAACATAAGCAACACGACGGGTGCCACATGTGGAGCAGAATCTGCTTACCCTTTCGGAGCACCTGAGATCACCCCCAGTTTTTGGTGGGGTTCGTGTTGCTTAGTCTTTGGTTTTCTATATTGTGTCATCTGAATTATTATTTGTCTGTTTGTCTTTTTATTTATGGCCATGGCGTTGTCAGTTTGTTTTCGATCTATGAGTTTGACTGTCCCTCTGGTATCTTTCGTCCCTCTTGCATATGCAAATGACGTAATCAAGGATATAATCAATGTCCGAAGTGAGCATCACCTAATGTACAGGCTGGTTTTCAGCCTGTGTTGCTTGTTAAACTATTTTATAAACATGAAGCATTTTCTTGCATCTCAACTTTCCTTGCTCTACTCAAATATGTGCTTCGTCGACTATAATCGATTTAAATATAATTGGATACCATCATATTCCTAACTTGGATCTAGTACTTACAAAAGGAAATGATGGGTTAGGTCAAGTTTGTCTTGCCAAAAACAACTTTAAAGTTCACTTTAGACGATTATATGAACTACGTTGAATTATTGTGTCATTTTCAATTTTTTATCACCTTACATTGAAACAAAATGTTTCTAAAAAGCCTTAAGTTTACCATTTTTTTATATATAAAAAAAATTCAATTGTCTACTAGAAACAACACTACGTGGCCTTCCGTGTGCCACGGTGAAATCAGACATTTACGATCAGGCTAGATATTTTTTTAATGTCATATGTTTTATCAATGTTTTTTTATTTTAATACCATGATATTCACGTCTGATATATAATCTTTATTAGGATTACAGTTTCTGAGAGCTACCTTCTTTTTTGTAATATTTTCAAACTTATAAATGATGTATGGTTTGGGATCGGCAGATATAGGGTATAATATGTCAATAAGAGAGCTTTCTCACGATACAAAAACCGACAAGAATTCGACATTTAATAAAGTAAGACAAATGCCTTCCATATTGCAAAATTAAAAGTTCTATAATTTTGAGTTCAGATATATTGATGATTTTCTGTCACTCAATAACTCATATTTTAATGAGTGTTTACATGACATATATACCAATTAACTTTATATTAAGGATACTTACGAAAGTAGAAGGTCTGCTTCATATCTTGATGTTTTGCTCGATATTAATACAGATAGATCTAGAAAACTAGAATCTATAACAAACGTAATGATTTCAACTTCCAAATTGAGAAAAATTTCCCATTCCTCAACAGTAAAATACACTCTGCTCCGTCGTATGGCGTTTACATATCTCAATTAATACGTTACGCTCGTGCATGTTAGCTCTATATAGACTTCGTTATCAAGGGTGTGCTCCTGAATAAAGGCAACAGTAGTATACCGCTGTTCAATAGTCATAAATCGATTAAGCGAAAACAAATCTGGGTCACAAACCAAAACCGAGGGAAACACATCAACTATAATAGGAAAACAACGGAACAACTGAAACACTGAACTGCAACAATAGCAAGCGCAAACATACATAGAAACGGACAATCTAATAACAACTGCAATATTCCTGACTTGGTACAGGACATTTTGGGAAAAAAGGTGAGTTGAACCTGGTTTTATGGCTAGCCAAACCTCCCGCTTATATGGCAATGTTAAAAATAACAAAAAGAATGCTCCTACAGAGTTATTAGGACGAACAAATGAAATCGACACTACATAAGTTTGACGGTCACCAGCAACAGTTGGTTGCTCCATACGATGTGTCGGTGTCTTGACTCACTAATGACATGTTTTCGCGGTCTGACCTTTAGATTCTAGTTAAGTCGTCTGATCTTTATGTAGTCTTATTGATTGTGTCCTATTCCCGATTGTGACAAATTGACTGAGTTTTGATTTGAATTGCGATTACGCACCCGGTCTAAATTCATCAAACTCCCAAAAGATTTTTGCATAAGATATAGCTAGACAAAAACTCCTGACATGGTTACTGATTCGAAAAAATAAATGTTCACAATTACTGAAAGCTTGCTCAAAATAGATATACTTATATTGAAAGACTTCGGTATTATGCTTATTTTTTGGGGAATATATTTTATGTATATGTATTTGAAGTTTATCCACTTCCTTTTGCAATCAATTTTTTTTTCAAATAAAGCAGGATCTGTTGAACATTCTAGTGCAATGAGATCTCCCTAGTTTAGTTTAAAAAATTGCGTTTGCTAAGTCTAAGCAAAATGGATGAGACACAAGTAAATCATACTTATGAAGCCTTCTCCATAATACAATATGAGTATATATAATAATAATAATAATATTTTGAGCATACATTTAAAACGAACAAATTCATAAAATATTATACGAACTATAAATAAAAAATTAAAGAAAAAGAAAAAGCAAAGATTTAGAAATCATAGTTTTCTGTGATGATGACTTGGGCTTTGATGTTGATCGTCCGCGCCAGTATCAATTACACTTTATGAAGGTGCTAGAAATCTGTGTGACGTTTTAAAAAAATCTTGAACATTTTTATGAAAATTAGAAGATTTTGTTAATTCGAAACTTTAAATTCTCCGCAATTTAACAGTTAAGTATCTTTAACAAAGTTTTCGGTATTCCAATTAAGATTTGGAGTAAAGTTTCTCTACTTGTAGTGTATTTTGGACAAACGAAAAAGAAATGATGAACATCCTCATTATCAGAACCAAACTGACAGGAAGGATCCTGTATAATATTAGATTTGAAAAGTCAAAGTTTAAAAATGAAACGGAGCATCGCAATCGAGTTAAAATAATGGTCAGTTTACTCGGACCGTACAGATCATACGTTACAACTTTTCTGTGGACACTATATCATTTTTCAATTCTTTCTTAAATTTAGATATATGGTCGATGTAGCGAATTTTGAAATCAACCTTATTTCATTCTCGTATTGTGGTTGTACTTATGGGGAACAAGATGGTACAGGTACTCAGGTGCATTTTTTTTATTCATATTATTGAACATCTTCTTCGTCAAAAATATAAAGATTCCAAGCCAACCTCAGTGTACAAAGTCTTGGTTTTAGTGAAAATTGGTACACCTGTTACAATTTTTGCGGTTTCTAATTGTAAGTTTTCTAATTTATTTGAATGATATTTCCTATAATTATCTTACACTTACTTGACATATTAAAAAATGGGTCTAATAAAAAGTAGGTAGAGTTTTTCTATATTATTTCGAGAAAGTCGGCATTTAAGTTTGCGCAGAACATTAGAGTATTTCTTCACACTTGTTTTTATACTTTCGATATGATTGTTCCATTTTGCGTCACTATTTAAGGCAACTCCAAGGTGCTTATGAAATGTACTTATAGAGATATTTTTTATCATTTAAGGAAAAGCTGAGATCTGGTATCTCCCAGGTAACAAACAGAAACCAAGGAAATTGCATGAACTCCAAAAGTAGCGAGACAAGATAAGCGTCTCTTGCTATGCAGACATCTCCACCATGCGAATCCAGAATCATTCAAAACGTCACAATCTGTATAAGTTACAGATCCGACTACTATTTACTATTTTGGTATCTAAAAGATCTTAGATCGCAAAAAAATGACGGTAATGGGATGAGACACTGATTCAACGTATCGGTCAACAGATCTAAATCAAAATAATTCTACAAGCAAACCTGATGGAAACTCAAATTGCTAAAAAAAAACACCCTCAATGCAGAGTTGAACAAAAAAGACCATGATTATGCAAACCATCATTATCAACTTAACTCTTTCTTCTATCATTTCAAGAATTTGTACGTAAATATATTTTAAGTTAAATAATTCGGTAGACGAAAATATCACTTCGATACAACCAACCTCCCATTGTTTAATGTAAATTGTATTCCCTGTATATCTCATAAAATACTTTCTAAACTTGTTATCAGTAAATTGAAATCATACTAAATAGTTTTGTTATTCACATAAGCACTTTAACGGTACTACAATCTGTTGATAGCTTTATTGTGGCATTGCACAAGGTCATGTTTTTCTTTGATTGTTAATGACGTCTTTATACTAAATCCATTGGATGTTGGATGTTTACTGATTGATATTTTAGTCTTAGATACATAATTTTTTTTATTAGTTGTTATTGGCTTTGAACTAGCTGTTAGTAACTGAGAGTACTCTCAGATCTGTACTTAGTGTCCTTTTCGTTGTTAGAGATGAGGGATGGATAAAAACCCTGCCACGTCCGGTCTGTGTTTTTGTTTGATTGTTCTGTTTTGTATCGATCTGATGAGTGAAGCCTTTTTCAGCTGATTTTTTATAGTTTGTTCTTATGTTGTGCTGTTTCACCACTGTCCCAGGTTAGGGGTAAGTTTTGAGCGCACACAAACATGTTTAACCACGCCACATTTATTATGTGCCTATCCCAAGTCAGGAGTCTGTAATCCAGTGGTTGTCATTGGTTCATGTCGGTCACATTTGTTTTTCTTAAATTGTTTTGTTTTAAATTTGGCCGTTATTTTAATTGAATTGTTTCATATTTTTTTGTCGAGGCCTTTTATAGCCGACTATACGGTATAGGTTTTTCTCATTGTTGAAGGCCGCACGGTTGCCTATAATTGCCTACATCCACTTCATTTGAACTTTGGTGGATAGTTGTCTCATTGGCAATCATACCTCATCTCTTAATTTTTTATATCAAAAAAAAAAAAGAAAAAGAACACAGAAATATGCAGGCTGTTTGACATTTGACAGTGTAGGATCACCTCTTGAAACTAATTATTATACAGAAAACAAAATAAAACGTAATACATCAGACAGTGTACAACATTAACTAAATTGGAGAACTACAACAAGAAGAAAAAAAACCCCAACATATCTGAACTTTTTATATTGAAATAACAAATGCACCCAAGTTGTTGATGTACATTGTATGTGAAACATGTGAAATATTTACTGTGCTCTGTGATTTTGTAAAATAAAATTGATTAAACTGTCATCATTGTCATACTTTCAACTCTGAAATAAAATTGTTAATTCATCTATAATTAGTTTATTTGGTACTCAGTGAACGGACAAAACATAAAAAGCATTTAGTACTTAGACACAGCTATATTGTACCTCAGATTTCCACTATTTGGTACATGCTAACCATTTTTTAAAGGAATGAGTGATAGAGGAATGTTAATCGAAAAACATCTGAGATCAAGTAACCGCATCGGTGGTAGTGTGTTTGACTGGAGTGGTGTTGGTCGTGTGTTCGAACCCCGGCTGGGTCAAACCAAAGACTTTGGTATTTGCAGGGTTTACATTCCTATATCGCATTAACATGTTATCGTCCTGGATGTTAAACAGCCACCCATCATCATCATTTAAGTTTTCAAAAGCGTTAAGCCACGAACAATTATTTTTTTTATTATAAATGGATTGATATGGTAAATAATAAAATAGTTAAACAAAAACGTGTTGATTTCCATCCAGACAATCTCAACAAAACACAACGTTGTTTTAAATTTCTGTGATGGTCATTTACACATATACAACTTATTTGTTTCTCAATCAGGGCCGGTTGCATTATCAGAGACCCAATCCCTATCTCTGAACAAAATATATATTATAATTCCTACATCACAGTCCTTTTATCCATACACGATATAGAAGTTAAT